GAGCTGGCCGCGGCCGGGCTTTCCTCGCTGGCCCCCTCCAAAGCGAGAGGAGCGCGTTGGCCCTCCAGCTGGTTGGCGTCCACCAGGCAGGGCTTTCCCTGCGATTTGTTGCCCGTCACGTTATGAGTTGCCAAAGCTGATGCCCAGGATGGAGTTAAACCCCTGCACGCCCCCAAATTGGGGTTCTATACCCCTGTTTTGCTTTTTGTGATTCCCTGGCTCAGGGGAAGACAGGTCGTGCTGCTGTGCCAGCCACCCCTCCTGTACGTGCAGGTATCCCTAGTTAAACACAGGGTAGGGTGTTTGTTTATGGGTTGGTGATTTTGGGGTTTATTTTTTGTGGTCTCAACGCCATCCAGCCTGGACTGCAAGCAGCCAGAGTCCAGACAATATGCAGCTGCTCCTCCTATTTATTTTTGGCTGGAAGGGACTGTTCGTGGCGACAGGGCACCTCTGGCAAGAAAACAAACCATCCGTGACACTACGAGAGCTTGCATTGAATAGGGGGCAACAGTGAGGTTTTTCTAGATCTGGGTGAAGTTTCCAGGGAAGACCACTCAGGAAATGATCCCCTTCAGAGCTGACATCCCCCCTGGGGAAAGGGGATAACAGCATTAAGACACTTCATTCATGCTCTTAGTTTTGCTGCTCTCTGTTTTTTTCTGCTTTCTAATTCAGCAGTTGTTTCCTCCTCCACCCACTCCCCCCCTGCCCAGCACACACTGTATGCACAACCTTTGCAGACTTGTTAAAACCAAATCTTCTGGGAAACACACAAAACTTTCCAGAGAGGCATTAATCCAGTGGGTGATCTCCTCAGCTTCCCGTTCGCAGAAATACATGCGCACCCCATAATCCTGTTCAGCAACTGGTGTGATCAGTCGTTTAGGAGAGCCAGAAGCTGTAAAATGGTTACACTCTTGATTTAGTGGAACTTCACATCCTCTTTGTGCTGCTGCAAATGCCTCTACAGACTGTGCAAGGACTGGGAAACTTTGCTCTTTTCAATATCTGTGCCTGACACCTAAAGGTAATTAATTCCTTGTAGATTTTTATTTTTTCACTGACTGGACTAACTGTGCCCCTCCCAGCCCAAAGGTGGTTTCATGTTTAACAGCCATTTAAGTGTTATCTGTTTTCATAGTTAACTATGCCTATTGGGTTCAGCTGAGCTGGCCCTGGCAAAAAAAAATCTCCAGGTGGCAGCTTTTCATTCAGCAGATAAGACTTGGTTGTTTTGGAGCTTTTTTGGGGTGGGGGGGTCTAAACAGATACTAGTAATATGTGGCACATGTCTGTGGGTGGCTTATCATCAGTGTTTTTCAAACATATGTTAATTAAGCTACCTTGCTGCAATGAGATTGGCAAGTTAATGCTTGCCAATCTGTAACTACCTGTGAAGAGCTAGGCACACCTCTGGGCCTTATAAATTGTTATCCACAGGATAGGTAGAGGAATGGGGAAAACGTCTTGCAGGGGTAGACACTCATGCTCTGACTTGCTGTATTTGGGAATGCTCCTAGGTAATCTTGACAGATCACCACCTATGGCAGGGGTTTGGGAAGACTGACATACCAACAGTAGGGTTGCCCTCCCCTCACATTTTGCTGGCTTGGAAGTGCCAACTGCAAGGCAGCTCATCTGCTTTTCATAAAGGACTGCAGTTTTCATGGGCTTAGTCCACAGCTTTGCAAAGAAGCCTGAACTGACCCAGGGCCCCAAAGCCTGGAGGGAACCGTCCCTTCATATTGCAAGGCCAGTACTAACAATTAATGGTCTGTCCAGGATGTGGTATAATCTCTGCAGTCATTGGACTCATTGCAAATGGAGGGGAGGGAAAGAAAACAAATTCACACTTCTGCTATCTATTCTTGATCAATTCCCTATGTGGATGTTCTTACTTCAAATGAATATTATCTGGCATCCTTGCTCCTAACTAACTACATCCATACCACAGTGTGTGGAGGGGAGAGGGAGCATAACAGGCCTGAATTAATGCATGAACTTTTCATGCCTTTAATTATAATCTGTATATGAAATTGTTCAGGAATAAAGTGGCACAAGTTCACTGTATTTTAATTCTCAGCAGTTCTAGTAACATTGCCTGCATCTCGCTGCTTTGTGCTGGGAAGTGAGAACCAAGGCAGGACCTGAAATCCAGTTCTGCCTAGCAGAAGTTATTGAGGGACTTACTATTAGTTTATAATGTAGCTCCACCATAGTTCACCTGTATCAGGAACCTACATGTTAATGGTGAGCATAAACACAGTGTCAGCTCCTTTTTTTCTTTTTCTAACAAAGAAAAGCTTGTGTAAGCACTGCTAACAGAAGGAGCCTGACAGCGCAGATGTGTTGGTTGTTGTTGGCCGTACAAGCAGAGACTCAGCAAACACAGTAGGGGACATTTACTGTGGTATCACTTCCCCAAAAGCAGTTTGTTCAGGGGCATTTTTCAAAGGAAAGAGGTCTCTGGTAAGAATTATTCTCCCTTCCATAGGGGGCTCCTGCAACTTGAGCTGCACCTCTTCCAAACTTCAAGTGAAGAAAATCCCCCTGTTCGATCCAGTCTTCAGCTCCATTCACACCTGTGTGTGCTGTCCCCAGCACAGCTTGGCTCGTCACTGTGACCCCAGCACCTGGGAAATTAAAATTTAGGCAACTCTGTTCCCAACATACTGTCAGCATGAGAGCTCTGACCTGGCAAGCTGATGTTTCCCAGTGGGCCCTAGGAAAACAGTAGTCTCCTTCATTCATAGCCTTTCAAATGTTGGGGACGATAACTCTTTCAGGCGGAAAAGTGAATTGGTATTTTTAATGTGTAAAAGATACAGAAAGGGAGAGAAAGACAAAACATGTAAGATCAGCATAAAGTTGCCATAACCTTCTTGGTTTTGTAGTTACTCATCCTATGAATGTTCAGGCTTGTCTGTCATGTCAGTGCAACCTTTTGTTTTTATGTAAAATCTATGCCTGGAAAGAGGGATTAGTTTTATACCAGAAAAAATGTACATGTGAAGAGAGGGAATGATCGTTTTGCCTCCAAATCTTGAACACACACTCTCCAGTCTCTTCCTGACAAACATGAGGTGTTTATGTTTGAGCTCCATAAGACATTCCTCGCAAAGCCAGCCCTGAGAGGAGACTTCTCACAGGGAACTGGGAAAAAAGGAAAATAAAATTCTTGTTGTCTGCACTGTGCACCATGGCTGAGGATTCAGGCCCTGATCCCTCTACATTCATTCTTCCATTACTTACCTTCTGATTAAGTGTTAGAGCTGTGTTTTTCACTCTTCTTTTTCAATCTATTTTCAGTATTCTTTGTTTAAGTGGATCCTTACGGAGGCAACAAAAATTTCACAATACAGAGGAGAAACTAGGTATTTGGCCTTGGCATTCCTCAGGATGCTGAAATAAGCCATCTTCCCCTAGAAGAAGAATTCTCAAAGACATTTATTAAGTTCATTCCAAAGTGCAGCAGGAGCCAAACCAGAAAATTACAAGATTATTGGTAATGCTTGGGCATGTACCTCCCTGTACTTTTGTCTCCCCTATATCCTCCTCCTCCATATTCTGGTATCAGTGCTCTACTTTATTTTACACCAGTGTGATGAGGATCCCTTTCAGATCCTAATATTTTATTCAGTTGTCTGTCTACTGTCGTCTTGTTTCCAGATTATTGCAGTGGTCATGGATGTATTTACAGACCGGGACATCTTCCGTGATATTGTTGATGCAGCATATAAGCGCTGGATCCCAGTCTATATAATCCTAGATGAGGAAGGTGTGAAGCTCTTCCTGGAAATGTGCAGATGCCTTAACCTCAGCGACATGCAGATCCGGGTAAGACACTCAATACTGTACCATTATCTCCTGCAGGTCAGCGGCCTTTTTCAGTTGTAATGAATCTTGGAACTCACTTGGACAGGCAAACACATTATAGAGGGATAAGGGAGTGGCTTGCTAATACAGAATGAAAGAGAAAGGAAAGATTTGGAGTTTTTGCCTTTCACCTGAGACAGGGGTCTATATAGTTTCTTGGCTCTTGTGATCTAAAAATTCCTATTTGGGAAGAAAATTGTCTGAGGAAATTGCTGTGGGTCTCCTGTGCAAGGATTCAAACTAGAATTCGGAGTAGCTCTGGGTCCCAGTTATAGGACACATATATTCTGTGAAATCAAGACTTTGCTATACAGCAGTGATCATCTGGGAGTGAGTAAGCTTGTAGTCCTCCTTTACCTGAGAACATCAGAGAATGCCTTCTTATAGTGCAATGCAGTACAGCAGAGTAGTCAGCCTAGCTTGGCTGGCAGAAGCAGCCTCAGTAGGATCTCATTCATAGAATCATAAACGATTCTTCGTTTAGGTTGGAAAAGATCTTTAAGATCATCAAGTCCAACTATTAACCTAGCACTGCCAAGTCCACCACTAAACCATGTCTCTAAGCACATCTACATCCACATCTACACGTCTTTGAAATACCTCAAGGGATGGTGACTCAACCACTTCCCTGGGCAGCCTGTTCCAGTGCTGGACAACCCTTTCCATGAAGAAATTTTTCCCAATATCCAATCTAAACCTCCCCTGGTGCTAGTTGAGGCCATTTGCTCTTGTCCTATCCCTTGTTACATGGGAGAAGAGACTAACACCCACCTCGCTGCACCCTCCTTTCAGGTAGTTGTAGAGAGTGATAAGGTCCCTCCTGAGCCTCCTTTTCTCCAGGCTAAACCCCAGTTCCCTCAGCCGCTCCTCATAACACTTGTGCTCCAGACCCTTCACCAGCTTCGCTGCCCTTCTCTGGACATGCTCCAGCACCTCAATGTCTTTCTTGTAGTGAGGGGCCCAAAACTGAACACAGTATTCAAGGTGCAGCCTCACCAGTGCCGAATACAGGGGGATGATCACTTCCCTAGTCCTACTGGCCACACTATTCCTGAAACAAGCCAGGATGCTATTGGTCTTCCTGGCCACCTTGGCACCATGCTGGCTCATATTCAGCTGGCTATCGACCAGCACCCCCAGGTCCTTTTCTGCTGGGCAGCTTTCCAGCCACTCTTCCCCAAGCCTGTAGCGTTGCATGGGGTTGTTGTGACCCAAGTGCAGGAGTCAGCACTTGGCCTTGTTGAACCTCATACAGTTGGCATCGGGCCATTGATCCAGCCTGTCCAGATCCTTCTGTAGAGCCTTCCTCCCCTCAAGCAGATCAACACTCCCACCCAATTTGGTGTCATCTGCAAACTTAGTGAGGGTGCACTCGATCACCTCATCCAGATCATTGATAAAGATATTAAACAGAACTGGCCCCAATACTGAGCCCTGGGGAACACCACTCATGACTGGCTGCCAACTGGATTTAACTCCATTCACCACAACTCTCTGGGCCTGGCCATCCAGCCAGTATTTTACCCAGCAAAGAGTACAGCCATCCAAGCCATGAGCAGCCAGTTTCTCCAGGAGAATGCTGTGGGAAACGGTGTCAAAGGCTTTACTAAAGTCTAGGTAGACAACATCCACAGCCTTTCCTTCATCCACTAAGTGGGTCACCTCACCATAGAAGGAGATCAGGTTAGTCAAGCAGGACCTGCCTTTCATAAACCCATGCTGACTGGGCCTGATCACCTGGTTGTCCTGTACATCCCACGTGGTGGCACGCAAGATGATCTGCTCCATGACCTTCGGTGGCACGGAGATCAGACTGACAGGCCTGTAGTTCCCTGGACCCTCATTCCGGCCCTTCTTGTAGACGGGCATCACATTTGCTAACCTCCAGTCAACTGGGACCTTCCCGGTTAGCCAGGACTGCTGAGAAATGATGGAAAGTGGCTTGGTGAGCTCTTCCACCAGCTCCCTCAGTATCCTGGGGTGGATCCCATCTGGCCCCATAGATTTGTCTGCATCTAAGTAGTGTAGCAGGTCAGTAACCATTTCCTCTTGGATTATAGGGGCTTCATTCTGTTCCCCATCCCTGTCTTCCAGCTCAGGGGGCTGGGTACCCGGAGAACAACTGGTCTTACTGTTAAAGACTGAGACAATGAAGGCATTAAGTGCCTCAGCCCTTTCCTCATCCTTTGTCAGTGTGTTTCTCCCCGCATCCAGTAAAGGATGGAGATTCTCCTTAGCCCTCCTTTTGTTGCTAACATATTTATAGAAACAGCAGTAGCTAGATTAAGGTTTAGTTGGGCTCTGGCCCTTCTCATTTTTCTCCCTGTGTCACCTCATGACATCCTTGTAGTCCTCCTGAGTTGCCTGCCCCTTGTTCCAAAGGTCATAAACTCTCCTTTTTTTTCCCCGAGTTCCAGCCAAAGCTCTCTGTTGAGCCAGGCCACTCTTCTTCCCCACTGGCTCGTCTTTCAGCACATGGGGATGGCCTGCTCCTGTGCCTTTAAGATTTCCTTCTTGAAGAATGTCCGGCCTTCCTGGACTCCTTTGCCCTTCAGGACTGCCTCCCAAGGGACTCTGTCACCCAGGCCCCTAAACAGGCCAAAATCTGCCCTCTGGAAGTCCAAGATGGCAGTTCTGCTGACCCCCCTCCTTACTTCCCCAAGAATTGAAAACTGTCCTTTTGTGATCGCTATGCCCAAGATGGCCTCCAACCATCACATCACCCACAAGTCCTTCTCTGTTCGCAAACCCAACAAGTCCTTATCTTGTCGCAAACAATTCCAAGATGGCAGTTCTGCTGACCCCCCTCCTTACTTCCCCAAGAATTGAAAACTGTCCTTTTGTGATCGCTATGCCCAAGATGGCCTCCAACCATCACATCACCCACAAGTCCTTCTCTGTTCGCAAACAATTCCATTACATACAGACTGAAATCCTTTGTGTGTTTATAGTTAGTATTGTTAGTCACTGTCAGTACTAGAGATTTGTTCCAAATACAGAACAAGTTGCTAGGTTGGAAACAACCTACAGGGTGCAAGACTTGCACCTCTGTGATCCAACGGTTCTGCTGAGCAGTGGAAAAAAAAAAAAAGTGCCTTTTTGCCTGGAGGAAGGGCAGGTCTTCCATAAACACTCAATTAATAGTTTAAAAAAAACCACAACCAAAACTCAAAAAGCTTCAAAGGTTATAGAGGCTCATATTAACCATTTTAGGAGAACCATCTTAAGTCTAGATGAAAATGACTTGCATATATCTGAACAGTGCTCCTGTGAACTACCACTCTGCTCTGAGTTTCTGGACTTCTTCATCAAAAAAGACATCCAGCTGAGCAGCTTTCTCATCTTTCTCCAAAACAGGGATGGAAGTTTCTTTCCTCTGGTGTCTTTGAAAGCAAGACACAGACATCATTATAATAGACCTGTTTCAAGCTTCAGGGGTATTCTGTGGCCTAGGCTTGAGTCTCTTTGGTACAAGACTGTGAAATCACAGCAGTAGTTCCATTTGCTCCGGTACCTGTTTTCCAGTACTTTTCTCATCATTTCATCATGTGCAGGAATGATGACTTTAGTACTGCATATTTTAACTTCTGGATAGAGTGAATGAAAGGATGCCCTGGCATTTTAGAAGAAATTGCAATGCTGTTGGAGAGGTGAGTTCCTTTTTGTCTGCCTTCTCCATCTAAACAGTAAGCGGTCTCATTCTTCTCTTCCTCTTACCTCTTTCTCCATAGGTATCTACACAGACTTTGCACTCCAAAACGAGTCATCACAGTGGCATTCTACAGCAGTGACCAGGTCCTGCAGCAACCTAGTGTGTTACAAGGTCACCTTTTCCAAAGAGGCAGAGTTTGAATTGATGCCATCAAAAGCACAAGAAAACTCTTCCATGCTTCCCTTCTCTCACAGCAGCCCTTGCTATGTTTTTCATTAGACTCCTTCAGCTAAAAAAGTCCAAATACAAGCTGAGCTGAAGGGGGTCCACTGAGAACTTTTTAACATCCTTCTTTGACCTAATTGTTCACTCTTCAGCAGAGCTCCAGCCCACAGAGTGACATCCTTCAACTTTTTCCCCTCTTTTCCCAGCTATCTCATACTGTATCTAAAATTCCCCTTAAGGTTGTTGTATTCCTTTTCCATCATGACTAAAAAGGCTTTAGTTAATCTTGTTAAGGTCAATGCAGTTTATTCCTGTCTATGGTGCTATGGTAGGACTGGGAAGTCTTCCTGTAAGGGGAAACAGGTCATATGCCTCTTGAAGAAAATGGACTCTTAGTATCCTGCCCAAGGCTGCCTTGGATGTATCCATGCTGCTGCTTGGGTCACTATGGCAGAAATCATCATGTAGTGATTCCCCCGACAGCAGGCTTTAGATATGCAAGTTGTCTCAAGCAAGGTTAAGGCTTCCCCCTGGGGACTCCCACCACCCTCACTTTATTGATGTAATGTGTCTAGGGTTGTTTTGAACTTTTAGTGTTGAAGACCCAGATTTAAAGCAAGAAAGCAAGCTGGGCCTCCGGTCTTGTTCAGGCAGAATTATTTTGTCCCACATTGCTTGATCACAGAGAATGCTGGAATTGCTAAGGAAGAACAAGAAACTCTAGTGCAGTTAACTCTATCATTCACCCATTTCTTATTTATAGCATGTCTTTCTCCTGACATCTGCTTCGATGTCTGAATTTCTTCTACTGATTGTCAGCAACAGGGAAAACATTCTCTCATTATACTGTCTTTTTGCGTAACCATTTTGCTTTCTTCTAAAAGATTTTCATTAGCGGGCCAGTTTGTCAGAAAAGGAATTGCATACTCTTCCTTCCTGCCCTTCTTTCCACCTTTCCTTTGGAATGCTTGTGCAAGACTTAAAGGATAGATTTTCTCAGAAAGTTGTAGCAATGTGGGATGTAACTTTAAGGTTTAGAGACAAGTTCTGATCCCAGGGAAAGAGAGAGAGAAATGACACACTACCATGGGCTGTCAATGCTGCAGGGTCAGGATGGTTATTGTGTCTTCTGTCATCAGCAGATGCTCAGATTGCTCTGTGATTCCTGTCCTTGTTTTTCCATTGCCCTGTTCATCCAGTGCAGAGTGAACACTTCAATGGTCCTAATACAGGGAGATTTACTGTTAACACTGTATTTTGCCCTTTGTCTACACACAGTGCTGGGCGTTTTCACAAAATTCCTGGCTATTGTATCATTTTGAGATGGCAAGGTATCATGGTCTGCTGACAGTCTCACAGGAGGGAAACTGCTGTAGGAAGACAGTACCTCACTCTGCGAAGACAAGAAGTTCTTTACTGACTCCAAGCATGAAATGAGAAAAACTCAATTTTTGTCTGAAGGTCAGAGATTACTAGAAAGGCATTTAAATTCAACCATCAGTACATTTATCCTAGGATGTTAGCAAGAGCGTGTCTTGCGTGTATGAGTCATATGGCTTCCTGAGCCTACAGGACATGGTTTGCCAGACTTCTGTTGTGTTTGACACAAGAGTCTTCTTCTGAGGTCACAGCAAAGCAAAGTTCTCATAGATACAAAATTCATAGCCCCACAAAAAGTCCTCTTTTTGTTGACCTGAGGGTGAGTGTTCTCACCCGTTTTTAGATGAGTTCTCTTCCTCCCCATGCTTCTGCTAATGAAAACCCCAGTAACAGACACTTCTGCTCAAAGACAGGGAGTTCACCTAGAGCTCCAAGCAAGCCCAGGGAATGAGTTATCTGCAGGAAGTTCACCTTCATGATAATTTTCACATTAATTTTCCCAGCATGTAAGGAGTTCCTCTCCTTACTCCAGGAACTCTTAAAAGTTTCTGCCTATGAAATTTTTGGAATTTCATTTCAGTATTTCATGTCTTTAGCCCCAAGCTTTCCTTATCCAATCCTAACTCAAGTGAGTGAGAAGCTGAATGTGATGTGATGCAGTACTGTTGTTTTTTTTAATTATCTGTTAGAGAATTCTTCTAGGTTGCTTGTGAAGTTTCAAAAATGGGGGCTTACAAGGTTCTCTTTTTGCAAAGACCCAAATAAATAATACCCTTGGCAGGGTAGGTCCATTCCATCCTATTCTACTTGAATACCTGCAAGTTTTACTATGTTGTCAACAAACATACCTTTTCCAAAACTGTTTGGGGCAAACACATAGGATAAGTCCATAGTATTTCCCAGTATTATTTGTTGGGTGCTTGCAGACTGTGGCTGCTTTTGTGTCCCTGTGTAAGATGAGCACCTACCACCCATCTCGCTGACCTAAAGGTCTGACCACCAGAAATGAGAACCTTGCAGACCATGAATAAGAAAGATTCCTTGTCTGTTGTTACTGTGGTCCTGTCCACATGAATCCCGTATCTCTCTTCCTCTTTACCTCTTCTGTGAAACCTCCATCTAGGATTTTAGAGTGGGAAATAATGAGCATGTGGGGCCTCCCCCTCAGCCCTGTGCTCAGGTGAAGCAGTATCATAAGAGAACAGAGGACAAGAGCTACTCCAGCAGATGCTATTGACTGAGGGGATCTGATTTTTCCAGGGACAGCAGAAAGGGGATATCTACATTTTGAAAAACACAGTTAATGTAAGGGGCTGTTGAGTCACTGTCATCTATCAGCTACTGTTTTTGTCTGTTGCCTCTCATCTACCTGTTTTACATCTGTTAGTTTATAGACGTCATTCATGCCATCCATCCCAACTTGAAATAAAGATCCCTGCTTGCTTTGCAACATATATACCAGTGGTTGTTCTAAGAGGGAAGGTACTCACAGGCTTCCCTGGTGGAAGTAATTGCAATGTTTGCCTGTAGGGTCTGTCTTGTGTATCTCACCCTACTCAACCCCAGCTTGTGGGTGCTGCTGCCCAGGTCTGTTAAGGGACAACTAAGTGTCAGTCACAACACAACCTATTACTGACTTTCTAAACTATGTCTAATCTAACTTCTGGTGGATTCAGTCAGAGCTTTAAAAGTGCGTCACAATAAAGCAAGAAAGACTGATTCCTTCACTTTTTGTATTAGGATGCTCTGTCAGGCTTGAGTGTTACCAGTCCATATTAAGTTGCTGCCAGGGAGACGTTAGTCACTGCTTGTGATGAGGAGTGGTGCACGCCTGTGTAAAGGAAATGTGGAAATTTAATGCAGACTGCAGCTTCCATAAGCCAGGTTATGACAAACCTTAAGCAGGCTTCTGCAAGAATAGAGATCTGGAGGGATCACTTCTATCTGGTGAACTACCTGGTCCTCTACCCAAAATATTTGTTACTACCACAACATTAGTGCCCCCCCAAAATGGCTGCAATCTCATCTCGTTTATATCTGTCTTCCTTCTTTCATTGTTGTGTAGTCTTCAGTACGTGAACCCAGGCTTGTTCCTCCTCTGTACAGCTTGGTATATCAGTCCACAAATGCTCCAATATCCTTCAAGGCAGAAAACATTATACAAATAACCTGTTAAGTGACTTGGTGTTTATATGACTTTGTGCTTGTTTTCTGCATTTCAAGATGTATTTATGCAGTCCTATGCCTACTTTGTTCAAAGAGGTTTATGTGTTCAGCTGGTTTGTTCTATCCCCTCTGTGCCTTTCTAAGTGTTATGTGTAGCTCAGTTACTGCAGAAATTCAAATGTGCTTTCTTTCCACCAGAAGAAGGTGATATAACATACAAACACAATAAAATCCACACTTGTTACATGCTAAGAAACTTTCTGCTCACACAGGCTGATACTTCTTGATTCACAAAGGTACATGACATGTCAGAGGTGTTGACTGATTTGAAGAATGGAGGTCCTTGAGGTCCTTCTTGACACCTGCAGTCAATATTCCATGATTTGGCAAATCCCACATCCAGCTTTACTCAGCAAGGAAAAAATTTCAGGTGATCAGCCAGTCAACTACAAATGTTATTCTAAGTACTGGAAAGGGCACCCTTTCTCCTGTGCTCTACCCAACCTGCATTCAGCATCCCACACATATGACTCACTGCTAGGCCTTGGGCAAGTCACTTCATCTTTTTCTCTCTCAGGCTCTTCATCTTTAAAACAGGGTAATAATACTTTCAGCAGTGTTGGGAGCATTAATTAGCTAATGCCCACACAGGACTCCAGACAGATCAAGCAATAGATGAATGCAAAATAGTAGTATCATCAGTTACTGTTAGTCAGAATTTGTACTGCCACTGCTGTATTTTAGTGGGGAAAATAGGAGCAGATTCAAAAAGTAAGAATTATATTCAGAAAACTGGTTTTTGAAAGAAATCTGCATTCTTACAATCACTTGTTCCTGCATGCAGATTTTTATTAGCCTATCAATATTTAAGCTGTCAGTGAGGTTTATAATAATAAGACTTAGCTCTTTGTGGGATCTGAGGCTGTGCTAGCATTAGCCAAATCCTCATGATTCTCCTGCTCTGCAGATAGGGGGAAAAATGAGGCAAAGGTGAATTGACTTTCCCAGAACATCACAGGGAATGGTGTCAGACCTGTGATTACACTTGGGACTATCTGACTCCCAACCCTGGGTTTATTACTCCAGATCACAATACCTTTTAGCTTTTCATTGTTAAAGAATTCTTACAGAAACAGATGGTGGAATGAAGAAATTGGTCTAAATCTGTGTGTCAGAGCGACAAGATAATTTGCTCTAAACTTTCACTGACAGTCAGTGCTTTTGGGGTTTGGGGGTTTGGGGTTTTTTTTCATGTTAGACAGCACATATATCTGTTTGGCAATTCAGCCTCATGCAGCCAGGACCCATGAGCAGAATAATACTCAGTCCAATGTGCAAATATATCCTTATAGTATGTGCAGGCACACAGCTGTTGTAGAAAATCATGTAACCTTAAATCTGTGTTTTCTCTGTCCCTGGTAGTGCTTTGTTTTATTACTTGTAGGTGTGCTGGCCAAAGGATGTGAGATGGGAGGTCTGGGGAGAGGTATTATCTTTTTCTAACTACTTCCGTTCATTTCATGAAAGGTTTTTCCTTCCTCTTCTTGAGAAATTCTTCTTTGCTGAAGTAGAGACACTTATCCTACTCCTTTTGTTCAAAGAAAGTTCTGTGCTTTTTCACTCTCTGTTGAACAGTGAGGAATCTGGGTGGACACTGCAACTGTTTGGGGTTCTTAGCAAAATGATAAAGGTCGGGGTTCTCCTTTTGTTATAACAGAATACATTTATGTTTTGAGCAATAAACTGTTTCCTCCTGTCTTTTGTAGTAATTAAATTGTCCAGTCTTCTAATTTGCCCAGTTTTGTCACGTCATGTGTTGTTGGGATCAGAACACAAGCACAAAAAGAACCTAATATAGATCTGTCTCATATGTTACCCTCCAAGTAACTGTGTCCTTTGCACTGTGTCCTGTGCAACCATGGTGTTCCTTGGTTTTGTGGTCCTGCTAACATAGTCTGGAGAAGAGCTCACGAGTGCTGTGGAGTAGGGATCAGGATTCAGAGAGTGTAGACATGACTCAGAGTTTCCTCTGATTCATTCTCTGGACCTGGGCTGGGCCTTCTGAGCTACAGCGCAGGACTGGAGATGGAGGATTATTTGATTTTGAAAGCATTGTCTTGTCAGTGGACTAAGATGAATAGCTGAAGACAGCAGGCAGGGTTACAAAGATGCTGACCTATTGGACAGGGCTATAAAGTGATGGAGGGGAGTGACTTGCATAGACAGGGGATGACAACAGGTCTTATAGCACTATGTTTTCCTTTCTGCAGCTCTTCTGATTTCTGGTGGCTGATACAAAATGAGCTGTAGTCCCAGAAGTAGTGAGATAATGTGAGTGACATGTTAAGACTTGGAGCTGGCAATTATCTAATTCTCTGCCCTATCTATTGTGACATTTTGTCTTTTCACCTTCCTGTTAGAATATCCGTATACGCTCTGTGACAGGCGTTGGGTTCTACATGCCAGCAGGGAAGATCAGAGGCACATTGGCATCCCGATTCCTGATGGTGGATGGTGAAAAGGTGGCCACTGGATCATACAGGTGGGTCGCTCTTGCTTAAGGCAAAGCTACATTCTTTGTGTAAATAATGGCTTGTGGCTTTGCTTGAGAATCTTCTTCCCATGTCATTCCCTTTCTTATCCCAGCCTCTGGAATCTGTGTAGCATCTGTAGAGATTGGGGTGGGATGACAGAGGAGGTGGCATAGAGCACAAACTGCTCCTGAGAGAGAACGGAATATGCCCATGCCAGTGGACCATTTCAGTGGGCTAGAGATAGTTCCACACTGCATCAGGTGGCGGTCTGCAAGGACTCCCCAACAGCCACTGTGCTTAGTTCTGTTCAGTGAGGTTTTTTCAGTCTGGAGACTCCTCCTGTTGATGCAGTGTTGCTTTTTTAAAAGGGTAAACTGTCCTTCAGAGTTTTAGGGCCTTTTCTTCCAGATCTGGTCCGCATGCCTAATGAAGAACAATAATAAAGACCTTCATGTATCTATCCTGACCCATCTTGGCAAGGACATATGGGCAAATGGCACAATGCTACATATTCCCATGTAGTGTCTTAGATATTGTTAGATGGGCTGGGTCAAGTATGCACCCAAAAATCTAATGTCAGTTCTGTTTCCTACTCTTAGCTTCACATGGAGTTCATCCCACATTGACAGAAACATCCTGCTAGTCTTGACAGGACAGCACGTGGAGATGTTTGATGTTGAGTTTCGTGAGCTCTATGCCATCTCAGAGGAAGTTAATTTCTACAAGGAGCTGGGTATTGCTAACCCATTCTTTCTTGGAATTGGGAAGTCAGGCCTTCATTCCTCCACCGTGGCTCGGAAGTTCATTAACCCCAAGTATGGTTTAGTGGCAGGGGCAACCCGTGGTGATATGATGCTCTGGGCTTCACGACACTGGCAGAATAATCAGGAGAACATGGAAAAGGAAGAAACAAGTGAGTCAAAGAAACGATTAGATCGGTTTCTGAATGACTTAATCACATTGGAGCAAGAGTTCCCAGAAATTGATCCACCTCTGGAGAACTTAAACAAGCTGAATCGGAGCCCTCAGAAACTGTTGTCCCGGCTCCACATGGACCTGAAAAATAAATCCAAATCCAGAGAGTCTATTCGAGATGTGAAGAAAGAAGATGCCCAGGCCAATTCAAAGCAAGGAAAGCGGTTTGCCAGTGGGATTTTCAGTCGCAAGGCAAAACGGTCTCCAGGCTCAAGCATTGAGGCCAACTCTTTTGCCAGTGAAGGACATTCAGGAGAAGACCTTGGGAACATGAAACTGGAATATGAGCGGCTCAGCATTGGCCATGCCAGTGTTCGGAGCACTGGAGGCATCTCAGGTAAAGCCTCTTCTACCAGGATGTTCTGCTTCTGTGTCCCTTGTTCTGAATTTGGTTGATTGGTGCAAACATATTCAATATAGGCATCTCTGAGTAGATCCTGTTATTTCCTCTATATTAAAATGAGGGGGATTAAAGAAGAGTAGAAGTTGTATCAAATGATACACACAATTTAAGTTGAAGTCAATTTAATGGCAGTCTTATTGTAAAGTTGGTACTTCTCATGTAAATGTTTTCTCATACTTCTCAGCAAGTGGGTATGGGACAAAGGGAGAGAAAGGTGAATGTCTCCTTGTGTAAAACAGGTTGCGTGTGCAGTTCTTGAAGTGCACTGCCCTAATAAACAGCAGCAGTGTGTTCACTATTGTAGTGGCTAGCAGGGTACAGACAGATTTCCAGTGTAGCCCCTCCTTTCCTCATTTGGTGTCTTTGACTGGGTGTACTTTTACTGTGACAAGTTACTGGTGGAGAAGAGAGGAAAACATGTTTATGTTGAAGTGAGGGGGCAAGAAGTGGAGGAGAGGGTGGAAGTCTTTTTAATTTTCTCCTTTATCACCTTCTGAAATGGGGGAGAAGGTTGTGAAAATAGAAGCTGTGGAGAAGTACTAGGTCTCAACTTTTCTTTCTTTGCTAACGCATGACTGATATTTTCGGTAAGTCCTTCTAAGGCTTCATCTGGTTGAAGACAAAAATGATAAAGATTTCTTCCAATTTATGAGTTTATAGCTAACTTCCCAACGTTTTAGATGTTTTGTCGTCTTGGAAGTAAATCTATGGACTATTCAGCCTGGTTGTCTTCCTGTCTCAGTAAGCTGTGCTGGGTGTCTATACATCCTGCACCACCAGGAAAATAAATTAGTTCCAGGGAGAAAATTTCTCCTCAGCTCGTCTGGCCAGAGACCAGTCTATGCTCTGATGAATGTGAAATGCAGGCGTAGAGAGACTGAATTCCCTTGAGACTGCCATGATGTGAAATGGAAAGACATTCTCCTGAGACCAAAAAGAAAAGCAAGGTATTGGGAAGGTCAACAATAGCGATTGATTAGGTTCTTCAAAATATTTCTGGTTGAATGAAGGACAGACTCGAAAATGCCAAATGGACACAAGAGAAAGGAACTGTAAGAAGGCACAGATAGTTTATTTAAGACTACAGTGGACTCATTTTAGGATGTGTGTTTGGCATTTGGGGAGGCAGAAGTAAACCCTGGTCTAAAGAGGTCCTTGCTCCAAATCACTTTGTCTTGAGCACACACAGTATGTGCTGCTGGGCCCCATTCCTCAGAGACAGGAAAAACAAAATCCATGAAGACCTGTGGGGAGATGTATGGGCATTTCCTCTCGGAGGAATGGACCTGAGGGCTTGCACTACCCTCTAGTGACACAAGTAGGGAATTGTGTAATCTCTTAATTTGTCAGCATTTTACAATATCAGAGATTCCCTACTTTTCTTACTGTCAGCTGTTTTAAAGCAGACAGCTCGCCATTCCCACAATGTCATGATGAAATTAGGCCCAGATTAAGGCACGAAAGAGATTGATGTCTCCAGCTGAACAGTGGGGTGCTGCACCCGTCTGGGGCATTGCACAGTCAGGGCAGCTGGGATGTCCCTATTCCTTTTAAAACAGTGGATCTCTGCCAGACAGTCTGATGCTTGGTCTGGACCGCTTCCACAAAGACACTATCATGCTATTATGCTCAGGTTTTATTTATTGCCACTGCTACTTCCTGAGAGCTGCTACCTCTTTCAAAAAAGGGGAAGGAAGAATTGAGAACAGGTGCAGGGAAGGCACAGTGGTCCAGCACACCACCCTTCCCGCTGTGCTCTTCCTGACCTGCTAAGTCTTTCCAAGGAGTCCATGCAAGTGTGTTTTTGTTTTATGCAAATTGAGAAAGCCTGTTCATGGTGGTAATGGGAGACTCCACAGCTTTTGAGGTATGGTGTAAGTAGACTTAGATCATCCGGTGTTGTAAAAGGCTGGAGGAAGATCCCTGCTTGTGTGTTGCTTTTGAATTGAATCACTGTTCTTGAGAGCGAGCTTCTCTAATCTAGTGGTCCCGAAGTGGCATGTGACCAGAGATGACAGAGGGCACATTAGAAAGATGGAGACTCATGAGAAAGAGGAAAAAAATGAGTTACCACAGAGGATCCTGCAGCTACTTAATCAGTAGCACATGCTTCATTAGGATTTAATAAAAAATTCTTGAATGTGGGCATGAGAATAGAGTTCCAGCTTCAAGATAAAAATACGAGGCACTTTTTTCTTGGGTAACTGTAGGACTGACTTAGATTTTAAAGTTTAAGTTATCTTTGAACAGGTCTCATAAAAACTGATGCTGTGATACTCTGGGTGACAGAAGGGAGGTAAGAAGTGGAAATGAAAGAGGGAGAAGGTGCCTGGTATGCAGTCCAGTTAGGATGCAATTATTCAGAGCTTCACAGTTTGAAATATCTGCCCTTAGCTTTTGTAAAGACTAAACAGCACACTTAAGCCCTGTGGGCCTGCCTGTGCACACATCCTCCAAAGTCACTATTAATTCTGTACTACCACAGAGCCACCTTGCAAATGCATAGAGAGATGAGATCCACACCTTGAGTAGCTCGCAGAGCAATTGAAAGACACTATTCGAGCAGGCTAAAGGTCAGGTTCAGTCTTGTAAGAGCAAATGGTGATGAAGAGAATCCGAACTGGGAAGGGAAGTAATGAAAGTGCATTCTGCAACAGAGTCTGAAAATCTGTCTGGGTATTTACATGCTAGGAAATGATGCCTACAAGTGAGAATTGGGAGTCTGGAAAATGCAAGGACTACAGATAGTAATGTCCCAAATTAAGTGTCCAAATTAACATCCTGAGGTGTTGTCCTAGCACACTGCATGGAGATTGTGCTTTGTCTTTCAAATCTTTCTTTAAACCACATCATCAAATTGACACAACTCTTGAATTTCACTGTTGCCTGCTTAGGAACACAACAGCAGCAGCTCTGAACTTGACCAGAATCTTGTTAATTTTAAACTGCTGCTGGGCAGACTGTGATCAGCAGAGACACTGACATCTGTGTGCAGTTTCTGGGAAATGCTGCAAGGGTTTGAAAGCTGTGTGCCTTTGGAAGGCACTGGCTTTTTGTTTTGTTTTCTCCCTGCAAGAAGCAAAGTAGGCTCATTCAGGAGGGTCTGCCGTCCTGAGTTTCTCTGTACATTGGCCTTTGCTCCTCATAAGCATTGGTTGCAGAACACATATACTTAATAGCAGGATTTCATGTTTCACTTATGGGTGCTTCTTGCAACAAAAAAGGAGATTTACACTGGGCACTGCAATACTGCAGAAATAGCTGCTTAGTTATCACCAGTGTTTTTCAGCCAAAGTGGGATCATGGATGGGTGGTAACTGGAATTTTCAGCCTCTGTTCTAAAGAGAAAGAAGGGAACATTGTTGGGTACATACAAGGAGGGCATTGGCTCTAACTGTAGTGGGATCTGTAGAAAAAGGTCGGAAGACAAGAGTAGAAAGTGAGAAGAATAAAAGAGTTGGAAGTTGAGATTAAGCAAAGGAACACAGGCACTTTTGAAAGTAAACATGAGGGTCTTGAATGTAATACAGACACGGAGGGGAACAGAGGTGGTGAGGAGATAGGGGTAATGATAAAGTTAGTAGTAACATACAGAATGGGTCGGGGGGGACAGGAAGGAGAATGAAATGCCATGGGGAGGTGTGGGGAGGAGGCGGCAGCATACAGAGCAGCCACAAAAGTTGGGGGGGGGGTTGCAGTGCAGCCTCCCACGTGGCTATCAAGAAGTTGCAGTATCCAGTATCGAAGAAGGTGGAGAGGAGGAGGGGGAGAGGAGAGAGGACTTCTCTTCCCCATCACCTACAGCTGAGGAAAATGTTGATCAAATACCCCCAAGCAAGAGAGTGATGTGAAAAATGATTCATTTGAAGCCCAGTTCAGAGGCAGTGCTTGGGCTGAAAGCTCCGTCATCTCAACAAGGTTGAGACTTCTCAGTAGCATGTCACCGTGACCTGTGGCAGTTTTCCCTCCCTGTTCTCACTCTGTGCTGGCCGCTGGCTCTGACTCCTTGGGAGATGCACATATACCTTCCTTCTGTGGAAACACATGAGTGGGGTCTGCCCTTCCTCAGAGTGACTACAAGCCACGTGGCAGCCCCTCTCAGTACATACTGCCCTGGGCTATCTGTCACGTAAGCCTTGCTGAGCTCAGAGCACAGCAGAGCTCCCTTACTTGCCAAAGCCTGTGCAAACACACTTTAGTACAGTGCCTGAAAAAAATATGCTGGGGCATCCAGAGCAACATCTGGCTGTCAGACAGCAGTGCTAGCATTGAAAAGTACAGGTACTGGGAGCAGAAGGAATCCATAGAGTGATCAATGAAAAAAACCTAAGTGAGAGACCCTGAGGCCTTGGGAATTCTCTTGCAAAGGAAATGGTGGAAATACTGGCACTTGAGATGTTTAAAACTGGATGTGAAAAAAAAACCTCTCCTGAGAATATGTGTGGGGATCAAATGGATGAGATGACCTGACTGGCTTTTTTTTCATCCCTCACTCTGGAAAACCTCCCATCCAACTCATGTCCAGACTGTTTTTCAGTGCCAACTGGGACCTGAGAATACACTGGAGCTGGCCTGGGTCCAGGCCAAAGCCTGGAAACACTTCTCCAGTGGTTTTCTCCACAGTATACTCTGAATTTTCTCTTATTTTAATGTCTCTTCATTTCACAGTAGTAGGAAATAAAATCACGAGAAAGTGCAGAGTAATGTAGGTCTAACACAAGGTGTATAGTAAACAACGAGAGAGGATTGAAGCATGAGTCCAGACTTTATCCAGGTCTTATTTACTTAACATTAACATTACTTTTAACTTCTTTTCATTCCAGGTAACCTGGGTCCAAACTCCACTACGAGCGATAAAAACAAACAATCTACCTGTGTGTTATCTTGATTGGGAAGGATCATCTGGAGAACTGAAGACTGAAAAAGCTGGAACAGTAACCTCTTGACTGATTTTGAACCTACAGCCATGTCCTCACACAGTGGTCTGTCAAGCCACTGCATGGTCCTGGATGCACCTGGCACCCGCAGTTAAAGCACATTTACTGCGTGAAGCATAGACTTTGGATGGTCGGTCCCTTAAATGAGGGTTAGTGATGAATGTATTAGTCCATATGTCTGTGTGCACACATATTTTATATATAAAAACAACTGTGATGACTGGTCTCAGAGCTCGCTCTGTGTCCGGATAAATGCAGGAGATTTTCTGACTTACTTGTGCTGCTACTTCAGTCTGTCTAGCTACAGACTCGGAATCACTGTATTGCATTGTTTACTCTACTGCACTGCAGAAATGTATTGGTTTGACTGACTGGAAGGCTAAATCCAATCGAAGTGGCAAATTCTGGGTGAAATAAGGATGTTTACAGACAGCGTAGCAATCCTTTGTCTACAAGGAGTCTTTCTGTAGATTCCTGTTGTCACTTACCCACACAGAAATGAGAGGCTGGGGAGAAGGGTTTAGCTAGCAGAGGCCAACAGATTAGTATCTTAACTGTTTCATGTCATAAATATAGCAGTCGAACAAAGTGATTTAGCAAGAATGTAGTAGAGAGAAAAAATGGAATATAGGGGGATGTTTAACCTGCAGTTGAGACTGGGTCAAGAGAAATGCCTTATAAGGGGGACTGGGCAGGATCTGGGAGCAATAATGCAGCCTTCAGTGGCTGTTAGAAAATCCTGTTTGTTGCTAGTTCAGCAATACTTTACCATTCATGGAAACTGAATGATTAAGGAGCACATCTTTGAGGCTTGAAAAAGGAAGCAGGGGAGGCATACAAGCTTTCCAAATGTTCCTTTTTTTTTTAAAGTTAGCCTTCCCAAACTCTAAATCATGCCAAAATCAAGAGCTTTGATCCATAAGAAGCACTACATGCAATCAGACAAAAGGCCATCCAATCTGCTATCCTGTCTCTGAGGATAGCCAGTAACAGGTGACCACAGAAGCATAAAATATAAAGCTTGCATAGAGGTCTTTTTCTGACACCATTCCAGCAGTCTGTGGACTTTCTGAACTGGCAGTTCCTTCTGGACCTGGCCTTAATGAATGCACTTAGTCCTTTTTTAAAAATCCTTTTCTACTTTTGGCCTCCACAGTGTTCTGTGGCAATGAACCCTGAGTTCATTCTGTGGTATGAAAAAGAACTGTTGTCAGACTATTTTAATGGTTTTCTTGAACATTTCGTCAAGTCACCCTTATTCTTCCCCTGTCAGATGTAGTGATGACCACCCCTACTCCTTGTCTCCTTGCCACTCATGATTTTACAGACCTATATCATATATGTCCTCAGCCATCACTTTTTCCAAGTTGCAGGTTCATGGTATACGTAGCTATTCATTATATGGGACCTGTTTGACACCTCTGTCCTCTTGTTCGCTGGCCCTTTTCCAGTTCTGCCCCCTAACAGAGTGGAGAAGTGGGTTAGTTTTGTCTCTTCAGTGTGTGGATTGATGTTTCACTCTGCTTTCTTACCATCTAAATTACATACTCTGCTGTGATAAATAAGCCCTCTTGTGATACCTAAGAAAAATAAACCCTAATTGTAAGTAGCCACCTGAAAACTAACATACCTACTTGCCAAAAAACTATTCAGACATCAGAAAAACACAGGTTTAGTTTTCTTTCTTTTTTTTTAGAGAAACCATTTGGGTTTTTCACTGCACAAGGAATTCACAGCAAAGGCAACTGCTGCACTCCCAACAAAGAACAAGCTGTTCCAAAGACTCTTCTAGGTGCTCTGTTGCAGTAGTGGTTGTTACACTTAAACAGCTGCCTGTAGTTGATGACAAAGTGCAATTGATTGATTGATTGACTGATTAACTGCCTTTCCTGGAAATGTATTTAACTTGAATGGCAAGCAGGTCTGTTTCACTCTGAGTTTACCCTGTAGAATGTCTTGAGACCCTAAAATAACAAAGGTATTGTGCCCTCTGTTAAATGTACTCATCCTCACTTGGTGGGTTAAATGCTAGCTATTCTATACAGCCTTCTGGGAACAAGCTGTAGTTTTACGGCTGGGTCTGTCAGCTCCTACTCTCAGTGGTGTTTTATAAAAATTGTTCCTGGTAATGGGAGAAAAGAGGTTTTGGAAATTACACCATCACTTGGACATAGAAGTAACTTAATACAAGAGTTATCCTGTTGGCTTCAGGTGTACGGATCATGTGCCAAAAGCTACTTGCTGTATGTTTATAGGATTGTCTAAAATGGCTTGATTTTGCCATACTTCTGTTATTCTCCAGGTGTTTGGGAGATTTTTTTTTTTCCTGTCCTTGTATTTATTTCACTTTGTTAGCAGAGATCAGAGATAAATTTATCAGGCCAACATTGTTCCACTTTTTGTTCTGGTAAGAATATTGTCATCTGGTGCTTCCTTGTTCTCCCAGACTTTTAAAATATTTATTTATTTTGTAATTGTGCAATAGGTTAATTAACTAATTAGTGCCATGTTGATATATATGGTCAGGTTTTCCAGGAAGACCTTTGTCTCTTTGGTTTTATGTCTTTGTTGCTTCATCTTGGGTGGAGTGACTTCACAAATAGTCTGAGAGGATGATTTCACTTGCCCTTCCTTTCCTTCTGTGCTTACTTATTAATGTGCTTTACTTTCTCTTTCCTATGATGGATGTGAAAGCGCTTTTCTTTATCCTTGTCAACTAACAGGATCTCCTTTCCAGAGACAGTCTGTCATCTGTTTGTCCTCTGTTTTGTTGCCACACCAGTTCCTGAAAGGTAGTGTTCACTTGTTGCTTTAAAATTCCTTCCCCTGTCACAGAATTCAAGTCTCATGCCTTGACTCCAGGGACTAGTAGAGTTCCTTAGGCTTATCACACACTGTTTAATTACTTAATTTGAGAGAGCAAACCTGCTTTCTGGCATGATATGAATCTGCTCCTTAAACTCAGCGTGACTCTTTGGGGATGCATGCAGCCTTGCTGATCCAGAGTGGATGTTTCAGACTCTGGTGGAACTTGTTCTTCCCTGAAGATAAGATCAGCTGAACTTGGACTATTTGGCTGCTCCTATGGCAACAGATCTGAGTCTGTGTGAGGTGACTGCATTTATTTTGACTACTTTTGCTAATTGTGGTTCTTGATGAGTGCTAGAAACCTGAAGCTGTGACCTGTAAAATGAATCTCTATCACTCTCTAGATAAAATGTGGTTGATGGTGCTGGGGGGAAGAGGGGCAAGGAGCAGTGGTTATGAATTCTGTTGGAAGTCTGCTAGCAGAGGCTGAAGGTACAGCAGTACCTACGGCAGTCTTCAAATAAGCTAGCATTTGGTCCTTGCCCAAGAAGCCACCTCTTGCAACCAAGTCACTAACCTCCCAAGGGGGCGGGAAAGATGGGAGACATTTGTTGTTCTGTTGCTATTTTAAAGAACAAGATTAGCTCTCTTTGGCATCTGTGTCTTGACCCTGGACAATCCCAAGAGGACGCCTGTTCTTCGGATCTTGTTTACTCTTTGGCTTGTCAGCCCAGGTTTGCTGATCTGTGTGGCATATCATGGGGCCTACGCTTGCGGTCCTGGTTTTAGACAGAAAGTAATGACGCTGGGGCTCACGGCTCCTTCTTTCTGGCGTGAAATGGTGAGTGGTGCTGAATGAGTGCCTTCTGGGTTTCTTTTGGTATGCATTTGTATATTTAATGTATATGTGTCCAGTGAATTATGCCAGAGACCTTTTCTAAGTCAAACAAATAAACTCTTTACTATGTTACATTCAGATAGTTTGTTCATTGGTGTCACTTTTAATTTCTCAGCCACAGCTCCTGGTTTTGGGGGATTTTTCTGTTTATTTGTCAAGAACCTGTGCTGTCTGGATTAGAGCAGGTTTCTGCGTAACACAGAATGGCCGATGTTTGGCAGTGCTTGTTAAAAGATGCGTGGGCAGCTAAATTCCCCACAAGTACAGTGTCCCGTGGCTTTGAGTACCTT